CCTTGACAATTTCACAGATGAGCTCCGAATGAAGCTATTAATAATAACATGCAGTGCACCCAGCATGCAGTCAGTATGCTCACCTAATGTTACAACATTGACTAAAACAAAGGCAACACATGGCTTTTGTAAACAAAATTAAAACGGCTTCTTTATTTCCTGTTAACAACAACGCAGGAAGCCACAAAGGGAATATGAACCCCTGCAGCTTAATAAATTAATATTGTATTACATTTTTGTGGTTCCATAATGATCCTATTCTCTTATTTTTAACTCCAGGTGTAGATGAACAGATAACACAAAGCCAACCACATGTTGCCCCTGAAGGTTGAAGCTTCTAAAAACCTTTGCTCATTATTTTGTTCTAGAAGCTATAAATTAATGGAATAGCCTTTGTTATCTGGAGCAAAGAAACTTAAATGTCTAGACGTCATCTTTAAGGATATCTAACAAAGATCAAAGGATTAAATAAAAAATACATGTAATGATCTTAAATCTTAAAACCAATTGCTTAAAAAAAACTAAGGTAAAAACAATTAGTATTATTCTTAAAACTTGTTTATGCTGGCTTCTAAAAATGGCCCCAGCCTCTTATCTCTAGCGATCTTATGTTATGTTCAAGTATATAATCCGCAGACACTGATTAAAAACACCCTGAAACTCATCTTATCCGCATACCAACATTTAGTTGATTTCCTTGCAAAAATAACTTCATGAAATTTTTTCCCACGGAAAACCTAATGTTAAGGGTTTGCTTGTGAACTTCAGTATTCAACATAAAAGCCCATAACAGCTTGTGGTCTTTTTATGGAAATACGTTATGCTTGGGCAAATATTTGTAATTGTAAATTCTCTGGGAACTGTGGCATTATGGAAATTGTGTCTAATCACTTCAATGCGGTTCAAAAGATCACAGACATGTATGCTTCAAGACATGCAACGATTCACATGCAATCAAAAACACGAAGAAATACGAAAAACAATTTAGTTTTTAGGTTACAAAAAAGGGGAAAATAAATGAGAAATAATTATCAAAAACCTAAAAAAGTTCAAAATCTAAGGTACAATGTAACTGATGAAAGGTGCAAGAAATTAAAGTAATTAACAAAATGAATGAAATTTCATGTGTGACATAAACACAGATTGGAATGATATTGAAATGACATGAAATTCATGTAATATTATTATATTATTTTTTGACACATTTGGATAAGAGAAAAATTCAGAATAAAATGAAAGTATTAAAACAACATAAAACAGTTTTGTACACCTCTACTTTTGAAGTAAGATACAGTAATAACAAGTATAAAAGTTTAATTTCATCAACATTTTATACAAAATGATTTCCCACAGATATTTATCCATTTACCAATGTGTTATAATAAATATCCAATTTTTTTCCTTCCAGGTTAAATATAATATTATTACTGTGTCAAATGATTCATGTGGTGATTTTAGTTAGTAAGTACAATTAAAAACACATACATGTAGAATTGTCCTTACCATTCAAATCCTTGAGATGTAGTACTGCTCTGGTTGTGTTATGGATCAAGTGCAATGCCCAAATTGATGCGTCTTCCATGCTAACATAGACTCGCGCATTTATATTCATGAGGCAAACCAAGCGGTACAGAGCAAGGCAGCTTGGAATGGGTTCTATGCCAAAACCATGGCCCCTCAGTGAGTCATAGTTTGCGTCAAATGCCGCACCCCCCTGCACCCACAACTCAGGGAAAGTTGGTATACAATCATGGAATATCCATGAATTGTTGTTTACATCATAGTTTACAAAGAGGTGGGGGACGTCATTGTTGTTGATGACCGTCCACATCCCAGCCACTTCTGCTTGGATTTTGTGCTGCTCTTCAATATCCCAATGGTTGCTACTGATAAAGTATTCGCAGTTACTGATGTAACCAGTGTCGCAGCCTCCTTCGGATTCGTCATCACTGTCAGTGGTGCTACTGGCAATCCTGCGTCTTGTTTTGGTGTCTTTTCGTTCAAAAGAAAAATTACCAATATTTCTTATTGGCGATCTTGGGCTTGTCAACCCACAGCTTGAAAGTGATGACGTCGCAGAGTTACACCTACTACTGAGACGTTTAGGGGGGGAAAGGTACAGCTCCTTGAATGCACTCACCCCCATAGGGTGCATGAGAAAGTGTGGGTGGGTGAGGAGGCTGAGAAGCTCCAATGCATCTTCTCTGAAAGAAGCTGATGTTGGGCTACCATTTGACAAGGTGCACGACATGGCCGCTTTCCAGTCGAATACTTCAAAAGTCATCCCCGTATCCCTGTGCTTGAGGCGATACCGCCATATGCGATAAAAAGTCAACCCGGTCTCGTCTGTCACATAGGCGCGAAAGAGACAAAGCCAGCGAAACATGACCACACAGCTTGGGATAACTTGATATGGTCGGATATAGCGCGCTGGTTTCGTCGTTTTTTTCATCTTGCCACTGAACCAGTCATCATTGTATCCACGTCTCTTGTCAATGAATGTCCACTTTAGATCGTACGTGTCAAATAATAATTCAAAGTTCTTGTTGAAACCCGACGTGTTGAACTCGTCCTCTTGGTCAAATACATCCGGCAAAACCCACTTCATCATTGTTCCCGCCATGTGCAAAAACATACTTTCACGCAATTCAATTTCGGTCAATTCGTCGCCGCTTACACAGCACGAAATAAAATATTTCATGTAATCGGCAGTAAAGTTGCCTCTGAGAGACAAATCTTGATAAGTATTCATCCAGTTGACACATGATAAAGACACTTTTTCGTACAAAAACTTCTGCGACGGCCATCGCAACAGCACGAGCTTTCGCCAAAGCGATGGAGTTTTAGCGATGTTTCTCCATTGCCTACAAACCGACGAGGCTTTCGTCAGTGCTGGTGCATCGACATATCCAAATATATGAAGTAGAATTTCGTCTAAAAATACTGCCATCGCGATAACACGATGTTGACATTAGAGAAAATAAAATGCGCGCCACTGCGGTTTCGTCTTGTCGGTTTTGTTCTGTTTCGTCACGAGGCAAATGGTTTTGTTTACTTCGCCACAACCGGAAGTCCATCTCGTCGGCAGTCTAGTCACGAGTTTGAACCGGAAGTGCATTTTCCGAAGATCAACCGAATACAATTATTGTAGTTCTTCGGTTAATTTTCGGTTAATTTTCGGTTAATTTTCGGAAGTTCTATCTTACAACTGACCTAAATGCATTGCAGGCGCAGAACATGGTTGTGCGGCGATCAGTCCGGCGATCAAACGTTCGTTCGGCGTTTTCTAGTTTTCCAATGCAACGTGGCACTATTTTCCCCCTAAATGAAGATATTGTGATTTTTGTTCATAGAAAATAGTATTTTTTAAACAAGATTTTCAAGTTCAAGGTAGGTAAGGCTTTCAATTTCTTGTTTAATGTACAATAAATTATATAAAACTTTGCAAGCTGGACGTACGTGGCAGCAAGCTTGTGGTGTTTAGTGGCGAAAAGAACATTTGATCAACTGTAAGGGTTCCTGTAGTTTGATCCGGATTGATCAAAATACATATATTGTGTCGATTGCTACAGTGAATTTTTGAACCCATAAGTATATTGAGTGATTTTTAATATAAAAATTAAGCTTTACATACAAACATAAATATAATTTATCCATCAGCAGACTGTTTTCTAGAATGCTATAAAACGATCAGTTATAGTTTTCATCAGTTACAGTTTGTCATACAGCATCGTGTTGGATGGGCATGTCTGATTGTTAGCCACCCCTAAATGTATATTCTAGTTCAAAAATTTTAATCCAACATTTTGCATAAAGAACAATGTTTCATCGTTTAGATGGTTTAGCCTGCAGGGCTTAAAGATGATTTACAGTCCGCAGGGGGAGGGGCTGGGGGCTTTAGCCCCCCCACTTTTCTGAAAAATAATAATAATCTGAATAAAAATTTCCAGAAGTCATTTCACTAGTTAACGTTATTACTGGAAGCTGGTGATAAATTTTCTTTTTGATCTACAGTACTTCGCAACGGACAAAAGTTACAATGACTATTAGCAAAGTAGACGTGCAACTGCGCATCAAGTAGATAACTTTGAGCTACAGTATAATGACTGACTTTATGCTATTGAGCAGTTGCATCTTGCGTTTTGTGGAGAAATGTTTTATGATAACATTTTTATCGCCATAGATACTTTAAACTGAGAATTATATACAGCTCTGGACATCGCGGGACATATTCAATCCTGCGTGATAACGAACAGAGAAGCTCATATCGTAATACATGTATGAACAAGGAAGGCTGCTGTCTGTTGGAAAGAAAAGATCTCGAAAAATCTCTGATTGCTTTTCGAAAAGTGGACAACTCTCTCCGAATTTAAAGACCAGATAATAAATGTTGATTCTTGTATTAAAAACATCGCTTTTTAATCGCTGAAAGTTTGTAATTTGCACCACACTTGTTAATTTTAGATCCATTTCCAGCCATTTCAGAGGACTTAAATTCACAATTTTCCCGGGGGAGCATGCCCCCGGACCCCCTAGATGGCTTACGACGACGCGTACGCATTAGTCCCCCCACTCAAAAAACTGCTGCGCGGGTCCTGTCTCTGCCTGCAATGTTTATGAGTCCCATACAAAGAAATGTAAATACTAGCGAAAATAGAAATTGTTTTACAAACTTACATTTTTTTTCATTATTAACGCCAGATATCCTTACAAAACAATAATAACGAGTAGAAGAACCTTGGCGTTCTTCCAAACCGACGTTTCAGCTCATTGAGCATTCAGGAACTCAACGACCTGTAATGGCGGACTCAAAAACTTCATGTACGCTATCTCCAAAGTGTAACTTATCAACAAATTCAAAACAAAATGAAAAAAACCCTGAACATGCACAGTACGGACTGGGAATCATCTTTAATACAAAAAAAGCCAATCTCGATACTCCATTGCACTAAATACACAGAGTTTATGATTTCATTTAAGGGTCTGACTGTCCATTGCGAGGCGTGGTGGTCTAATGGTTAGCTAGTTGGATTCCGGATTGAGAGGTCCAGGTTCGAGCCCTGGCCTGGGGTCATTGTGTTGTGTTCTTGGGCAAGAAACGCGTACGTAACTCTCTCGTTGCCTCTCTCCACCCAGGAGTAAATGGGTACTGGCATATTGTCAGGGCAACCTGACGAAACTGCTTGGAGATTACCTGCGATGGACTAGCATCCCATTACAGGGGAATGGCTATATTCCTAGTCACTTCATACTATGGAAACCGGAGTTAAGCGCCAGCCTGCTTGTAGACAGACTTTAAACATCCTCGTCCATGATAATTCGCGTTACCACTTTTCATTTGCTTCTGTTTTGTTTGTTTGTAGGAATCCATCAAGCTAGTACTACTGACCACAGAAATATGCTTGTGATCGCATACATCACTTTTGGCATTCTGTCGAGCCTTTGTGCTCTCTTCCACTTCAAGTGCAAGACAGGGCAAAGGGATGAACTGATGATAGCCAACCCTAACTTTGTCTCATTCCAAAACAGTTACTTCAAGGTTTACTTCCCAGCACTGATGGCGGAATGGCTTCAGGGACCTTACTTATATAAATTGTACAGTCACTATGGATTCATCGACACACAAATTGCCATAATATATGTGTGCGGCTTTGCATCAAGTGTAATATTTGGAACATCAAGTGCATACTTTACTAGTGTCTTTGGACGTAAAAAGGCTTGCGTAGTCTTCACATTACTCTACTCTCTGTGTTGCGTCACAAAACTGTCAAGAAACTATGGCATTCTCATCTTTGGAAGAGTTTTGGGTGGAATATCGACATCTCTGTTGTTTACTGCTTTTGACGCATGGTACTTGTATGAACACACGCAGACCCACAATTCCCAAATGAGTGGGTATCAGCGACGTTTGCCAAAGCAACACTTTATAACAGTGTCATCTCTGTAGTTGCTGGATGTTTAGCTAATACCATATCTGAATGGATGCAATTTGGACCAGTGGCGCCGTTTGTTCTCGCAATACCGTTTCTTATCACCGCTGGGATTTTGATTCAATTTACCTGGGATGAAAACTATGGTGGAAAAAGTCTTAAAGTCATCCAGCCATGCATGGAGAGCCTACGCTACATTGTAACAAACAAACAAAGTCATGTTGATTGGCACTGTTACGTCGCTCTTTGAAAGTGCAATGTACATTTTTGTTTTCCTGTGGACACCAGTTTTGGACAGGGCGCATCTCTACCCTCCCCTGGGAATTGTCTTTTCCTGCTTCATGTTGTGTGTGACATTAGGTAGTTTTTTGTTTAACTTTACCATCAAGCATGGAATAAAACCCATCCAGTGTAGTTGTTCTGACTGTCATTGTCGCATCAATTGCAAACATTGGTGCAGTGTTTGCAAGCGCTGATCATCCACGGATTTCATTTCTAATGTTTGTGATCTTGGAGTTAGCCTGTGGTGTTTACTTCCCAGCGATGGGTTGGCTGCGGCAAAAAATTCTCCCAGAAGCCCATCATGCAGGCATTATAAACTGGTTCAGGGTGCCCCTGAATGCTATTGCAGCAGTTGTCTTGATGGTGCTTCACGATACGCCACAGTGGCCACGGCATCTCTGCAATATTTGCTCTTTGTTCTATACTGTTAGCTGTGGCAGGAATTGCTGCTGTAAGACTTGCCGTTCTGTCAAAAAATGACGAAAATCTGGAAGTTATCAATGATATGGAAGAGGGACTTTAAAAACCATTTTAGTTGCATTCAGCTTGTCTTTCAGAACTGGTGTCTATCTTCATTGTTAATTCACCAATTACGCTCGTCGACAATGGATACATGAGCACTTTGTTGGTTAGTGGAGTCAAGCAAAATTCTGCCACAGCGCAGAGGTATCCATGGCAACCCTGTGAACAGTAACCACCAGCTAGGTACTGTCATACTGTCCCAATTAGTGGGAACAATGTTCAGCAAGACACAGCGAGCAGAACTTGAAAGGACAGTCACTAGAGATCCGCAAATGCAGCTGTACAGCTTATGCCGATAAACTATGCAGACATTCTTTGGCTCGTCACGCAATCTTTCCTCCCCACGCTGTGATTGGTGCAACAGAATATGCCACTCATTTCACCAGACGTTCATAGGGAGGAAAGATTGCGTGATGAGCCAAAGAATGTCTGCGTATGCCAATAAACATGAGGAGTCCTTGCAATAATGTTACATGTACTGTAGGTTATTCTACTGGTCATGTCATATGACAGGGAACCACTGAGTCTGACCACAGTATCATGTGGTTAACTTTGCCAAATTACATTTACCCACACTTTTATGACTGGCCCTTCCCATAAGATTTGCTTATAGTATATTCAAAGTTTACTTTTCAAAATTAATACTGTAGGCATAAGATACCTGTGTTACTTCCGTTTTTAACTGACATGGTTATCCACAAAATTACCAGAATGAACAACATTGTATTCCTTAGTTTCAATGTTGTGAAAAAAAAATTCTTAAATGAGGTGACATTTAGACAATCTGAGCAGAAGTCATCTTCATAGTCAAGTGAAAAGTTGTTTGTCAGTCGATGTAGTCAATCGTGTTTTAAAATATATTGATCAATCTTCCAAGCCTGCCCATCCCCCCCCCAAAAAAAAAACTCTGGTGGGGGATTTTAAACTAAAACTTTTAAAAATGCCGGTCTGTTTTATTTTATAAAGTGTCAGATAAAACAGACGGTGCCTGAAGTGGACAAATTTTAAGTATTGTCCGTGGATGTCAGGAATAGATAGTAGCTGTTCTGAAATTCACCTGAAAAGTGGAATTCTGTACAAACGACTTATCGAGCAATAAATTGGTACTACAATACAATTTTACCAACATTTTTCACAGACCTCTTGAGACCTGTAAGCCACACAAGTATGCCTTGTGGACCTATTGTTTTTTCTCCTGTTGTGTGGGGCATTTGCCACTTGTTTGTTTGTGGGGATTGTTTATAGCTCAAGAGACCCGACAGGGGAAGGGGGTAGTATTTCTCATGCCCGAAAAATGTCCAGGAAAAAGGGGGGGTGGTGAGCAGGCTTGGAATTGATCGAGACATAAGTCCCTGGTCTTTGAAACTGATTGGTCAGTTTCTTTGTGATGTTATTGGCTGTTACGACTCGTCCTGTGTAAATTTCATAAGCAATGATTGAACTGAAATTGTCAGTTTCGATCCGTCTATTAATAATAGAATATATATGATTTCATTCATGTATTCATCATCATCAATAATAATATTGTTAGTCTTATATGTAATTTGTATGTATTGTAGTGTATCTTTCTATTTTGTAATCATATTTATTTTATACAGCGCTCTATTTAAACTAGTCCTAGGCTAAACTGGATGTTCCTGTTAAAATATCGTGTTGGTCCTGTTTGAAGTCAAAGCTCGTTCGTCAGTTTTGGTGTCACAATTTAAAAGTCGTTTGTAAGGTGCGGGTAGTTGTTAACATCAGTTCAGAGGTGCTTGTTCTAAGTTAGTGTACCTGTCCAGCTTCCTAGAGTCGCGGTCGTTGAATGTGGAGCAGAGCTCCATTGTTAGATGGTCCAGTAAGGGTGGATCATTTTATTTTTGAAGGTGGGGTTGGACAAGCGTACAAATCGCGCTCACTACGCAACAAGAGGCTTTCAGTCATGAACAGCAGGTCTATATGTATGAACGAACGACTGACGAACGAACTAAAATGCTAAAAATAAGATTATATAACCTAAAATCGGTTGAAATGCTAAAACAAATTACAAGAATATATAACATGGTTATTATCACTTGAAATGGTGGCTCAGTCCCCTTGCTCTATAAAGTCGCCTCCGCATGGACATATATCTTATTAACCAAGCGCGGGGGCCGTACTGGGAAAATATCGGCCCAAGGCCTTGACAGTACGGATCGAGCGCAGCGAGGTCTGTACAGAAAAGAGCGAGGGCCGATATTCTCCCAGTACGGTCCCGAGCAAGCTTGGTTACTACTGAAGATATTTATTACACGACTTTGTGGTTAAAAATAGCTATGGAAATTAAACCATAACAATGTAAGAAACTTTATTAAAATAATTAGCAGGAGAGGGGTGAAAACCAGAGGGGGGGAGGCATAATGTAAAATCAAAGCAAGGATAGGGAGGGCTCAAAGTAAAATAAGTGACTCAAGAGGGGGGGGGGGCCGTAAAATTTTATTTCAAGTACATATTACATTGGCGAATCCAGGCCTATTTATAAGGTGGGGCACCGAAAAAAATTTCGGCCCTTCGGCCCTTAAGTATTTTCGACGACAAAGGGGGAGCCGACAGACCATTCTTCCTCAATGTACTCCAGTTACGGTATCCCATAAATCCCTAGTTCATAGCAGGAGCCCATCACTAGGAGCGAGCAACTGGACTGGATTCGTGTCACAGCGTTTTTACAGACCAGGTTATTTTTAGATTCCTTTTCTCGCGAACTCCTATTCAAACAAGCCAATCAAAAGTTGTGATGTAATGAATGACGTGTCATATTTCTCAACTCCTATTCAAACAAGCCAATCAAAAGTTGTGATGTAATGAATGACGTGTCATATTTCTCAATTGACAAGGAGATCATATTTTTTCCCGGGAAAAAGGAGTCTAAAAAACCCGGTCTGTAAAAATGCTGTGACATAGACGGAGTATGGGAGATGGACGCTCCTAGTGATGGGCTCCTGTTCATAGTCATTTTCAAGGGTGTCCCTCCCACATGCTCTTTTCCTTCTGCTCGTACATAATTTCTGACTGATTAGAAGGAGGGCAATAACTAAATTCACTCCTTTACTCGCTAATGTTTTCGTACATGAAGCCCATTTTCCACCCCCCCCCCCCCCCCTTGATAATTATTGCACAGTCCCTAATTTAATTAAATTTCGCGTCAAAGATTTGTTTATTAACGATTATGCCATTTTGACTCGTTTTTAAGTGAACAATCTTCTTTTTTACAAAACCTTTCCCTAGGAATACTGTAGACTGAAAGGACCTGGAGCTGAAAGGTCCTGAAAGCATTGTTACAAGAAGGTTTTTAGGTCTCCTTGCAGGGGGATTAGTCAAGTAG